GGTTTGTAGATGCTTATCAGAATCATCAGGATTACGCAAACGGTATTTTATTTGCAGTTAGGAAAAGCGTTTGTTTCTTTAATCCGATTGCCTCTGAGGAGGGAGTCTTCGTGGTGGGCTCAGCAACCTGTATAGTTTAATGAAGGTTATTGATTCAAGGTTTATTAATGAAGAGGCCTTTAACCCTTGGGTTGCCCGGCCCTTTAAAATTTTTGTTTTTGTTTCGAATTATTATTAATTATTTTAACCTTGGGTTATACTTTCTTTTGTGTGTGTTTAAGACCACGCAGGTATCCTAAATTAACTTTTTTTTTTCCGTTAAGGTCAGGTCCCCTCGTTTTTTTAGCCCCCACCCCCACCCCTTTAGCCTTTCTCTTGGCAGTTGGTGCCATCTGCTGGGGATGGCTAAAGGCCATGCTTCCCCTCCCCTCCAGGTTAACGCTCCTCTGAAGAATGTTGTGCACTGATTGGTGTCCACCTGCGGGCCTTCCATGACCTCTTTGATCCAGAAAACAAGTGACTTCCAAGAGCTACAGGACCTTTTGAGAAATGTGTCACAGTCCCCTGGAACCTAGTTGATCTTGGAGGGCTGGAGTCAAAATATTGTCCCTTTAAGGCACTCTGTCCCGACGTGGTTATTGAACATTTAGAGAAAGCTTAAACAAACCAAAATAGTTGAAAATAAATCTCGATCAGACACACATTTTGTTCCTTTAAATCAAGCCCTTGTCAAGTACCGATCGATGACTTAAGAGAGATCTGCTAATTTAGACATTTGAGTAAACTGGCCTTAGACAATTAAAAACAGAGTTTGAAAAAAAATTTCGGTGTGTGGGTGTTTTGCTCGCATACGTATCTGTGAACCTCTTATGTGCATGGTGCCCCTGGAGGTCAAAAGAAGCCATTGGATCCCCCGGAACTGGATTTACAGGATGGTTTTGAGCCACCATGCGAGTGCTGGGTATTGAACCTAGGTCCTCTAGAAGAGCAGCCAGTGCTCTTAACCACTAATCTGTCTCTCCCAAAGATTTATTTGTGCACACACACGTGTGTTGTAAATATATGCAGTGGGCATCACGGAGACCAGACGAGGACACTGGAGTTACAGGAAGTAATAAACTGCCCGGGAACCAAACATAGTATGTTTCAAAGAAGCAAAGAAGACGAAGGAGACAAGTACTTTACATAAGACCTTAAATATATATGTGTCTTCCCAAAATGGTTAAGTAAGGTTGGAGATCAAGGTGAACAGATAGTTATGCCAGAAGGACCTAATGCTGTCTTTTTCCCTATACTCCTAATAGAATAAAGGTTAGCATCATTTTTAAAAATAATCCAGCAAAACTTTTAAATATTTTAAACATCTGAGCGAGCACAGTCCTCTCCCGCTGTGCTGAAGGGAGTCATCTTCAATCAGTGAGCTCCTCCAGCTGTCCCAGGAGCTGATTGGGATAAACTCACAGTTTATTAATGGCAGTTGTTATCAGTCTGGTGGACCGAAGGCCTTGGGTACGATGATATTTTGTATAAATGGACCAAATTTACGAATGGAATTAAGTATTTTTGTTCAGCAAAATGAATTCTCGGATTCCTGTGTAAATCAGCAGGAGTCCTTAGTGGGACCAAGCCTGGGTTTTACTCAAATAGGAAAAAAAACGTAGTGTTTGGAGAGATCTAGTCCATCTCATTTAAGTAAGAAGAGTGCAGCTAGCCGGCCAGCATCCTGAGAGCGTGTGTCTACAAACAAACAACAACAAGCAAACAAACAGCTGTAAGTGGGGAAACAGGCAGCCTCTACCTTTTTTGTTTTTCCTTTTTAAATCATCTGGGTGTAGCGGCACAAGCCTTTAAACCCAGAATTTGGGAGGCAGAAGGGAGGGAGGTGAATCTCTCAAAGTTGGAGACCAAAGTTTGGTCTACAGAGTGAATTCCAGGTGGGCTAAGGCTACATAGTGAAACCTTGTTTCAAAAAATGAACACTTCCCCCCTCCCCAACTATACACATTCTAACTTTCTCCTTCTCCTTCTCCTTCTCCTTCTCCTTCTCCTTCTCCTTCTCCTTCTCCTTCTCCTTCTCCTTCTCCTCCTTCTCCTTCTCCTTC